TGTGAGACATAGTGATTACTTGATTGCGAGGAGTGACCAGGGCAATGAATGAAAGTATATAAAGAGTGACTAGAAACAGAGAATTAATCTTCCAATCTTCTCCTATTCAAAGTGAATTGGAGACACTTACCGACGAGAAGGGCAACGTATACATAAGTGGCATATCGTTGCCTTTTAATAAGTACAGACGAGTCTTTCAACACAGCGCTATCATTCTCATTGTCTTCATAATCATCTTCTTCGGATAGAAAAAGATTGTAATGATAAATGTATTGATAAAACCAGAGGAGTAGCGCTTTGCCGTTCATGTTTATTTTGAAACAATCTACAATAATATTTTTTCTATTTATTCTAAGTATAAAGTAATTATATGATGCGTCTTTTGCGTTGCAATAACACACGAACCATCTGTACAAAAGCTTTCTTCTCAATAGTCACCTAAGTGACGACTAACATGAAGATCAACGTTCTTATTGTTAGCATTTTCTTTTTCTTTTCTCAGACACAACTGCACGTATGAAGTTACTTTTGTTGATGTATGACCAAAGCATTATGTTAAATGAAAAACAAACCATTCTCTTCGTTCATTCGGCGAATGATGGTTTTCTTGCTTTCCGGGAAAGACAATCGAAGTTGTTCTGCGTGAGAAAATACGTACTTTCTTTATTGTTACCAGACCTCGCTAACATACAGCAAACGAGAAGGAATGTGGAGTAAATTGTGTTGCCTATTTCTTTTTGACGTAACTGGCAAATATACATGAACTTGCTTTGAATTTCTATTTATTTTCAATGCAGATTCTCTATAGTACTTGGTGACAGACTTCATAACTGTGATCAAAATCCGCTTTGTAATAGATGTTGCTATTGAACATAACCTCACCTCACCCTTTTTTTGCTGATATTTTATTTCGATATTCACTCATTGTTTTTGCTCTATCATTCTTTTATTCGCAATATAGATATTGACTTTTTTTCTTTATTATTTTCGAAATCGAAACTCTATTCGGTTCAATGTTGTTACATTGTCAAGCGTACAAAGTAGTTCTATATCACCGTACGATCACTTTTAAGAATGGATTTAGACTTGACTAACAGAAAATCCATACCCTCAACCGAGGGGGACTACGATGTTGATTCTGATTCACCAGCAAAGGTATAGTGCACATCACTATACTTATCTCGTGCAAAGACATACAAAAATTTCAATGTTTCAGTGCCCGTATTGTGATAAAAGCGCTCAGCATGTGCTGGTATCCATACTGTGGTACCTGGTCCAACATGTTTTTCCACTCCATTCACCGAAACAATTCCATTTCCACTTAAAAAGTAATACCTAATCAAAGAAGAACTTGAGAAAAGAGCACGACAAAAAATTGACTCACACTTCTTCAGCGTCATTCCTGTAGCCACGTACTGGACGAGGCAATGCGACGGGTGCTTCCGCAACACCTATGGTGATTCCGGTAGTTGCTGTCATATCTCCATTGATGAGTGCCCACCAACGGAAATATCCAGCAAGTGGATGGCTTGACTCTTCCATTTGACAATCTTCGATGCGCCGGAAAACTGGCTCAAGTCTGCGCTCACTCATACTCAGACCAAATTTCTTGACGTATAACTAATTTACTTTCTGATGACAATAGTCCAACCAAAATGAATATTTTTTTCTCCGTTGCTTATCTGTATCAACGAGATAAAAACGACACAGAGAGGTGTCACACGCGATGATAAGAATGAATAGTTTTGATCTAGCTGAATCGTAGGTTTCGGATAGAAAAAGATACACCTCAAAATATCGTGAAAAATTTGCACTGTTACTTCGTCCACATGTGAAACAAGTGCGAGATTTGATCGGAAAATTTCTTTCGTTTGTCGGTTTTAATGTGATACATAAGTGAAAAATTTCATTGATTTCTTTCTCAAGTTTGGGCATATATATATAATTTGAATAAGTGTCAATATCTGTTTTTTTTTAAATTTTATTTCAATAGTACATGATGTCTGTTACGAGGGTTCGGCGAGAAAAGATCAAACACAATCATATTGGCTTATTTCAAGACTACTTTTAGTTTGGTGTACCAAGACGACTTTCTAAACATATAATTCAGATACGTGCCTGTGAATTAAGAACTTACTTCGATTTTGGAAAAATATTTGCGCCTAAAACAATATAGAAAATGAAATTTAACTTTAGAGTAAATGACGGAAATATTTATAACACCTTTGAAAGGTGGCTCGAGATTCATTTCATTTGGCATAATTTGCTTTAAATGAATAATATGAAGATCAAGTGATGGTTGTGATCGTGAATCGACTACCATATGAGTGCCCGGTAGAAGAATAATTTCATCTTGCGAGTCAGAATATGAATGACCACGTATTCGACGACCATTGATAATTTCGATAGAAACTATTGTTCGCTCGCCTGTTTTACTGAACGATCCTTTTGTTTCGAGATCAGCTGTCGAAGATGCGCATGATGAGAACGACCACCATGTTACCGTTGCGTTCTGCGAAAATTGAGCGCTCATATTTTTATTAACTTCTCGCCAAACAGTCTGCGGTGGAACGCATGGTAATTTGACGAGGGCAGTCAGCAATAATTTAAGATATTTAAAAAAAGGTTGAACATTCTTACGATCGCCCGATTCCAGAGCAGAGTTGAGCATTACGTGTAGACTTTGGTGTGGACTACTCCATTGAATCGTGTATAATCGAATTGCAGCGCTCTCATTGGTCGTCAGTCCATCGGGTGGTACTTGTGGAGTTTTGTTGAGCGCCATTTCAATATATGAAGATAAATCATGAATAATGTCTATTAATGGCCTACATGCCTCAAGGAGTGGCAGCAACGGTTCTGTGACATAGCCCAGAATGGAATTAACATGCTCGTTGGGATGGTCGTTGTTAGTCGCAGTTTCGATAGACTGTTTTGGTGTAATATCTAACAAAAAAGATATCACAATTGAACATGCTCTCTTTGATTTCGAACATCTTCGTGAGATAATGTGTTAGTCTATATTTATTTACAAATGACTTGTTCTTAATTAAGAAGACTTACCAGATGTACTAGTAGTTTTATTTTTGTTAGCACTATTACTTGGTGTAGATTGATCTTTGAGTTGGAGTGCTTTTTGATGCCATCGTGTGTAAGCATCATTATCACCTTTCTCTAAACTGATTGCAGCGAGATCTTCGCATACAATACTGCAGAGAGGATCGTCAGATAGAAGTTCGTTGAAAGCACGACGATAGTAAGTTTCAGCTAGATCAATTTGTCCAATTTTCCACAAGATCTTGCCCAACATCTGAAGGTTTGTCTCTCCGTTTCCGTTCTCACGCTGAATATGCGCGTGAACTTTCTTAAGTTCCGGTTCATCGTCATCTAGCAAAGTCATGCTGATAGTCCATATTTGATTTTCACCGTGACTTATTTTGTTGACACGAAAAATGGAGCCCAGTGTAAAGATCACTTCCAATTCGGCAGTTAAATGACTATACCCGCTAATGTCTGCGAATAACTGTTTAGTACTTCTTCCCGGATCAGCATCAATGTCAAACATCACTCGTTGAAAATCTTCCGAAACATTGGTATTGATAAGAATTGAGAGTGCTTTCGAGGAGTTATTGGTAGCAGAAAAAAATGAGTTCACGGAAATATACTGACCAGCCCATTCTTTGAGGGTATTCAGTTGCTCACTCGACATCAACTGACATCCAAAAACTCGTAATGGATACTTGGGTTGGTAGTGCTGCAGCTGACGATGAATATCAAAAATGTATGAGCGAAGTAGAAACATCAAATGAATATTCTGCCGACTTAACGCCGCATTTAGGATTTTACAAAAGAATGTTCGTCGAGTGTACCACCAGAGCGCTTTTTCGAATGAATAATCTGGCTCAAACTCACGCAAATGAGCAGCCTCAATACAGTTGCCTTCGTATTCCATCTTGCAGCGAGCAATGAGTTCTTCTCTATCCATCGTATTCGGTTTCATCCGTAGGAGACAATCAATGAGTATTTGAGAAAAGATGAATTCGCTATTAGCTCTTGTTGTTAACTCACCTGAACTGTTTGTAGCAAATAAACTGATTGACACTGGTCCTTCCGCCACCAACTGAATTTTATGATCTCTTTTAATCTGAGATATAAGTCGGTTCAGGTCACTGACAACGCCTTTTATCTTTGTAAACTTGGACGCCCATTGCTCGTGACTCTTCGGATCCATACAGAAGACATAAATCGATGAGACTTGTTGGAGTTTATCAACAGCAGGTACCAGTTCTTGGCCCAATCGACCGCTGACAATGACTACTAATTTAACATTTGTCATCTGTTCAATATATCGTTGACATCTTTGTAGATCTCGAAATTTCACAAGATGATTGATAATCGCACGCAGTTTTTGCTGCGTATCTCGATTATCTTTAACCGCCGTATTAGCATCGAGCCACACAAGACTAAACAGTTCGAGATGATTGTCGCTGTTGTGTAACTCCGACTGATCCGTGGAAGAAACAGCTGAAGCCATCTTGTAATAAACAAACTAATTTTAACGTTTTTAAAAACAAAAGAAAAATTCTGATATGCTTACGGTAACTAGTTATTAGACTGAGAAAAATTAACAATTATCTATGAAAAGCAAGTGCTATGCATCGGGAGTGCTCACTGATGCGTAGATCGTTGTTTTTTTCCACGTGTGTAAAAAAAATTACCTATAGGTAAGGTGTAAAAAGAAGAGAAAGCAGAGGTAACGGTAATTTTTTCCGATGTTTATGAAACTTGTGTAAAACATCGCATGCGAAAATCAATGATCAAAATCGATTTTTCAATTTTCTCTTGTCTATGATGATCGTCTGCTGCTTTTTTTTTCAATGTAGAAAAGCATACTAAATGTCATATGCGTAGTGCTGACCGGTTCGACGAGATAACATATTGTATTTTCATACTCAATGAAACTTATGACTATTAGTAATCATAATGAATCAATTACAATATAATTTAGAGGAAACTCTGCTTGTAAGATAGTCATGTCAAATTTAGAATGTTTATGTAACCAAACGTATCTGTCTCGCACTTAAGATAGAATTGCTTTATGTTGATTTTCTCTCCTAAACTATCGATTCTTCCACTAAAGATGTTCAAATGTATGATACTCTTTCAGTTTGAGAACAGTCAGATAGAAATCGTCCTTTGGACGTATTGAAAAATATCCGCAATGATCACTTGATATCTACTCTTGAAATAAAACCTAATGAATCAGTTCAAAGTCATTAAATTAAAAAAATATTTAACTCATTCGAATCTCAGTCAATTTTTTCCATTATAAATGGTATCTGAAAAACGAAGAGAGAAAGAAAAAGGTAAAGCGATGAGTTGCATTTCTCTCAAATCAACACAGAATGTATATCGCCGTTTTCATATGTATAAACTCAAATGTTGAATCAGATACATACCTTTTTCGGTGAGAATATCGCTCGAACAAGTCTATCTTAGTGATGAAGTATGTTCAAAAGTACTGATCGATGGATTATTTCTTTGAATCTGAGATGAACTGAAAGAGTTTTTGCCTAATTATCAAATTTTTTTACTGAAAAGTAGTGTTGCAGCTGTGACTAAGGTGTCCATTTCAAATTGTTATTGTCCAATGATCTTTTTTCGATAAGACATATTGCATTTTATCGAATTCAATATGATTGAAATAAAATATTCCGAGAAAATTGATTTTGAAATCATAATAAGAGATGTGGAGTCAAATTGAAATCATCACTAGTTTTTTTCTCAACAGAGGTGAAAGAAACGTTTATCGTTCTTCTTATCAAATATGGATAAGGAATCTTTGTTGTTTAAAGTGAGTTTCACGTTTGTCGACTCACAACGATAAGTATTTTTAATTTTGATACGCAAAAAATAAATATTTGTTGTTCTCAACCTTCACCCACCCACACTCACAAGATGGAAATTCTAGTGCAAATCAGAACTGCGCTTGCTAAAATGTTAAATTAGAGTTAGGCGAAGAACTCTGAAATTTTTTACCAACCAACATAAAACGATTTATTCGACAAAGAAAAACGGCCGTTTTCGAAATCCGAAAGCACATTGTATGGTACGTACATGTGTTTACATTCAAACTAAGTAGAACGTGAATAATTAAATCGCATTCATGCGGAGCATCAAACACCAACGCACATCAATATATATTTTGTACAAACGAAGGGCATTTCGCACGATTCAAACTCGACGAAGAACGAAGAATGGATATATTAATAATGCAACCGGTAAACAAGCGAACAGAATTAAATAAAAAGTATTTTAAATCGTCATCTCCCATCGGAAATAATTCAATACAAAACAGTTCATTAGATGGTAACAATCTTACGGTCCTGACAAACAATGAGCCACATTTAAATACGCCATCTCAACTGTTGTCTATTGATGAAACCATACGACAATTGAAGCCGACGGTGCCTGTGTTTTGTATTCGACCAAAAACAATTGAAGCCACTGCGCATTATTTTTTATCGAAATTTCCAGGCGAGGTACTCTATGCAGTGAAATGCAATGCCGAGCCAAGTGTTCTGAAGCTTTTGTGGAGTGCTGGACTTCGTCATTTTGATTGTGCATCAATAAATGAAATTAAATTAGTTCGTACTCTTTTTCCATCTGCAACTATTCATTTTATGCACCCAGTGAAAGCTAAAAGTGTGATATTCCAAGCGTATTTTAATAACAATGTACGTGATTATGCACTCGATAGTATAGAAGAATTGCATAAAATCATTGAAGTGACTAAAAACGGAGAAGATCTTGGCCTCATTGTACGAATTCAAGTAGCAGAAAATATGACATTGCATGATTTATCGCGGAAGTTTGGCGCCAATGTGACCGACGCTGTCACGATTTTACGCGAAGCACGATCGATTGCTAAACGACTAGGCATATGCTTTCACGTAGGCTCTCAATGTTTAGTGCCAGAATGTTATGAAAATGCACTAGATATAGTAAAACACATTATCAATAAGGCGAATGTCAAAATAGACGTTATCGATGTTGGCGGTGGGTTTCCTGCAACTTATCCAGGTTGTATACCACCGCCTCTTAGCAAGTTTTTCCAGAGCATCGAACGTGGCTTTCGCAATTTAAACTTGCCTAAAGAGACGATATTGCAATGTGAACCTGGTCGCGCTATGGTATCTGAAGCGTGTTCAATCGTAGTTCAAGTATTAGCGCGTCGACAAGATAGTATCTACATAAACGATGGAACGTATGGAAATCTATGTGATGCTGGACCTCTGGTACATAATCGCTATCCTGTACGTCTTCTTCGTCAAAACGGAGTAATCAGAGCAGAGAAAAATAATTTAAAAGCTTTTCGGTTTTACGGCCCAACATGCGATAGTCTAGATGTAATGGATGGACCATTTGAATTGCCGGATGATATTGAAGCCGATGATTATATTGAAGTAGGTGAAATAGGCGCTTATAGTATAGCGATAAAGTCTCAATTTAATGGATTTGGTGAAACTATGATTGTTTTCGTCAGTGACGATCCTCTCAAAGCTGTCCCGGGTGATGAAAATAAAAACAAGTAATAATTACCATGGTCTTTACTCTCTTTTAACTAGTTTTATGATTGTGAATGTAGGTGTGCATTCACGCTTCGAAAGACATATGACATCAGTCACAAACAAATGAAATAATTTCGTTTACTATATAATATGAGTATCTATTCGATTTTTCTCTGAATTTGTTTGCAATCACTTTATTTGTCATAAGTTTAATTCCGAAAATAAATATTAAAAAAAACACAAATTCAAACGTCATATCAAGTCAGGAGCTCAGTATTAATTTAGACGCTTTCTAGGATGTGATTGGGTAGTCCATGTGACTCTACAGAATACGACAAATTTTAATTTATTTCACCTTTCGAACGATATGTCATCTGGAGTCGAACACTATGTCAGTACTTATGAAATACCTATTTGAGGACCATTATTTAGACTTGTCGTGTTATATCTTCACATCCATGCTTAGAATAGCATTTCTTCGTTTATACTTTCGCCCATATTTGCTGTCGTAGAATTGTTTATTGTTGTCATCGTCATTATTCGTATGGTGTTGTCTTTCATATTGAGTTGCGTTGTGAAGATTATGGTAAAATTCCAACTGCGGATTTGTCTTACGGTGAAATTTGTTATTATGAACGACAGCAATTGATTGTCTATGTATTTCAATCGTGAAACAATTCGTACTGTTTCAGCCAACTAATACAAATAAACAAGAAGACTATTAGCATACTTCAAAACAGTCATGTCTACTTTTTTATGTCTCTCGCAAAACTATATTTGTATATCAGAACAATTAACACATTATTGCAAACTCTTGTCTCTTTCCAATAATTTCGAGAACAGGATTTCCATTCTGATAAAATCATCAATTTCTCATCATTTTTGAGGATGTGACTATTTAATGCGCACCCTCACTATTCAATTGTGACTAATTCTACTTTGCGGACCTTTTTTTTTACCAATTAACAGAAAATGTCCGCATAGGAGAAAGTGTCCGCAATATGGAATCCAGGGAGAGGACTAGAAAAACGATGATGATTACACCCTCGAATTAAGTGATCAGATATATTGCATGATATCTAACCAGGGTAACCGTAACAAAGGAGAGACACTACCCTTGCATCTATTTAAAGCCACAGACAAGAAGCATATCGAATAATAATTAACATCAAGCATGAATTCGGATAACTTTTTTGTGATTAGCACGCAACGTGAAAATGAAGGCATCATTTTCAAAGATTATCATTTTGGATTGAAACGAAGAAACATGGATGGGAGCAAAATGTGGGTCTGTACAAAGAAATCATGCAAAGCTTCGATCAAAACACAAGAATCTTCCATTATCAAAATGAAATATATTAACCCAGATGGAACCCATGATTATGAACATCCACCAAAAATGTCTTTCAATGTATATGAATGTATTCAATCTATCAAACAAAGAATCGATAAAGAACCAACAGCACCAGTTTCTATGTTATACGATGAGCAAGTGAAAAAGTTCAGACGTGACTATGGTAATGCCGGTGCAATTCCTGTATTTGATCGTGTGAAATCTTCTTTATATGAATATCGTTCGTCGAAGCAACCAACAATTCCAAAAACATTATCATCGATCGTTGTGCCTTACTCGCTTACTCGAACTTTAACTGATGAAAATTTCTTATTCTGTAGTAATGTTCAATCAATATTTGGGTTTTCTTCACTTACTAGTCTTCAATTACTTGGTTCAAATCAACATTGGAATAGTGATGGAACTTTTAGAACCGCTCCTCGATTATTTTATCAAAGTTACAGAATACATATATGGGATGATTTCAGCATGAAACCTGTAGTTTATGCTGCCTTACCTAACAAGAACTTCGACACTTACGATAGCTTATTGGTTGAATTGATTATTTATGCTCAAAACAATCAAATCACCCTCGCTCCACAGTCAATATTAATCGATTTTGAGATGGCGGCTTACAAAGCATTTTTGAAAAACTTTCCAATGGCAAATATAAAAGGATGCCAATTCCATTTTGGCCAGAATATCTGGCGACAGATAAAGAAGAAAGGTTTAATTCCTTACTCTAAGGGTGATGAAGCACGTCGTCAAATAGCAAACATATTATCCTTGCCTTTATTACCACCTCAAAAAATTCAGATAGCATTTTGCGATATTATTGAAGAACTTAGTGGTGTCAATGCTCGTTTCCTCAAGTTAACAGACTATATTCTTCGAACATACATTGACAATGCAATTTTTCCTTCTTCATTCTGGAATGTTTTTGATCTTATTGGCATTCGACCAAGAACTAATAACCACGTAGAAGGTTACCACGGACAATTGAATTGTCATTGTTCAACTCATCCAAATTTATGGGCGTGGATAAGATTTATACAGGAGCTGGAAGAATCAACGATGGTTCGAGTAGACCAAGAACAAGCTCAACAACGGACAACACGTCGTAGAAAAGCAAAAACAGTAATCAATGAGAATCTTCTAATTCAAGCGAAACAGGAATATTTGGATGGTATCTTGGATCTAACTGGTTATCAGAAGCGATTACGCATTCTCTCTTATCGATATATCCAGGTGTTTGATGCTAATGAAAAAGACGATCTTGATTATGAACCAAAGGACAATTAATCACTCAATTATCTGTTATAAAAAATTTTCTTTATTTTTGGTAAAATAAACTTTCTTTTGCTTCATAATGTTATCACATTGTTTCTCTATCTCTCTCCTTTGATTCTACATTGCAGACACTTTCTCTTATACGGACAATTTTGTTTCTCTCCCCCCGTTTCTACTTTGCGGACACTTTTTTCCACCAATTAAGAAAAAACGTCCGCAAAACAGAAGACACGTCAATTGTCTATGAAAGATATTGTATATATTGTTTGATTTGTATAACATTTGCATGAGTAGGTAGTAAACAGCAATCATAGATAGTCTCTGCTTTCTTATAGTACTCTAATGCTTGATCATATTCTTCTTTATCTTTATAAACATTTCCAATATTTTCTAATGTTAAAGCAACATCACGATGTTCATAAGGTAAGGATTTGTTTTTGATTGTTAATGCTCGTAAGTAATGTTCCAATGCTAAATCATAACGACCTAAAGCCCGATGGACATTGCCAAGATTATGATGTGATTGACCAATATCAAAGTGATATTCAGGTAGAAAGTCTTCTCGAATCTTCAAAGCTCGATCATGATATTCTAAAGCTGTTTCATATTCCTTTTCACGTTCATATACACAACCAATATTATTTAAGCACATTGCA